GGTCACTATGAGTCGGAACCGACTCCATGGCACTTAACAACAACAACAGCAACAACAACATACAAGTGAAGAAATAAAAGCTGTCCATAAATGTTGCAAGTACCATTGAATCGGTTCTGATTCATAGCAGCCTGGTATTGGGTTTCCAAGGAGCAGCTGGTGGGTTTGAATGGTCAACCAGTGCTGATCCTATAGCACCACATCAGGAGTCCATAAGTAATCTTGGTTAAATTATATTAGACACGATTGAACTTCATTTGCAGAGTTAAAAGAAACTTGGTATACTAAGTCACAACAGAAGCATTCACCAGACCCTTGTTTACCCACCCCTCTCTACCTACCACTACATTTTTTAATCACACATCCACAAGTGGGCATTGTGATTAGGCATTTCTCGGAAATTCTAACATTCTAACAGTGATGCAGAAGATAACCATCTGTGAACAGAAAGGACAATTTGACATGCCAAGCAGGTTGTTCCTCCATGAGGAAAAGGTTATTTCCCTTTCAATGTTTTGCAACATCAAGAACTTTCTTTTCTAAGATATAATTAATTGTTCAGACATTATTGAGCTTGGGTAATACAGAATTTGTAGTGTTGACTTGAATATTTCATAAAGCTTAAAGTAGAAGTTCAAGAGGTTCTCAGAAACTTTGAATGAGATTTTACTCTTAAAATTAACCATCACAAATGATACTTATTGCTTAAAAGAATTTGTAAGATAAATAATGATAAAACACCATTGTAAGGCAGTGCCTCCGATTCTACTCAGTGGTTCTAAAGAAATGACCCAATATGGTCCCACTGCAATAAATATCAAGGAACTCATCTTGATATTCCTTGGTTTAGCTGGAGTAGCAGAGGAGCCAAATTTTTTACAATTGGCCATCTTCTTTCCCTTTGCTAATACTTTCCCTGGATAATTTCTATTAATATTCATGATACCACACACCATTTACCTGTAATGATTCCCAAATCTTTATTCACATTTTTAACTTATTCCAAAGTACTTGGCTTATTATTTTATCTGTCTACTGGCTGTTACCTCTTTGTTGTAATACAGT